TATGCCGAAATTGGTGTCAACAGATGCCTCCTCGAGGTCCAGATGCGAAAACTACTTCGTATATGTTGACGGATCCGGAGCTCGAAACTTTAGGGTTTTTTTTATGATCTCGCTTTTTTTATGATCTCACTTTTTTGGAAACATACTTTGGGGCACTTGATTCACACGGAGGTTTGCGCATATAAATGATACTTATCAAGCAATGACGTATAGTCTCACGTTATATTGATCTTTATATCAAACGCTTGGAGGACATAACATTTTAAATGTTCGTTCGATGGTCGCAGTTTAATTTTAAGAACTTTGGATTTTTTTTTGTTGCATTCAGTTTAAACTCATGATGCATTGAAGATGCATTGGGGGCATTTGTTTATTTTCAACATCCAAGGTTGTTTGAACAATTAAAAAATAATTTTAAACTCGAGAACAATTCAAAAATTCAAGAAAGAAGAAAATTAAATCTAATAATCTATTCCACCAGGTGTTAGGTGCAGCTGGCCGTCACCAGCTTTTTTACCTTTCACCTGGACATGACATCCATGTATGGAGCACCACCCTCACTGGACCTGTTTACCAGAATGGAGGAGGACGAGAAGCTTGTCGACGAAGTTGTCGCAGATCAGAAGGAGAAGTAGAGAGACAGGAGCGCGGCTCCTTGATTCGTTTCTGAAGATCAGACCGAGAGTCTGAAAAGAACTGGGGTTCCTACCTTGTTCAGGGCACCGACGAACGAGCGTAGCTGCTTTCGCCGGCCGGTCCTGCGAGGGGCCTCCGGCGTATGCTTCGACGATGCGGGAGGGCAGCCGGACGGTGATGTGTTTGCGGTAGTGAGTGGTGATCCCGGCAGCCTGACGACAGTTTGTTTGGGCTATGGAGCGGCAGCAGCCTGGCGGCACTTTTGATTGGAGAGCGGGGGAGCTGAACGCTTGGCGGCGGGAGTGGTTGCCGGACTGCCTGGAGTTTGATTTCCCTTCGCGCTGGAGTTTGAACTTTGCGCGCGCTTGTTGAACGTGCATAGGAGTTGTGTATGACTTAGTCTAGCGGATGCGAATAGGAGACCTGACCGGCGCTTGACTCAGTTTGAATGTGTAGAGCGCGTTCAGGAGCTCCCTCCTTGCCTGGTAACGGCGTGCACATACGTGCTATACGTACGATTGTTGTGTATGTACACACACATACGTACTTGCATGGTCTTTTTTTAATCCATGCGTATGGAAGCGTGTATGTATTTACGACCGAGCATTTTTAATATGACATGTAATAGCCGTGCTTTTATCACTATTCTTTGCCAAGGTATAGTCATGCTCATGCATATATGCGTATATGTCCTTCTTTCTTTATTTTAGCTTTCTTTTCTTCTTCTTAATTTTCCACTAATCACCACATCATCTTTTGATATTGAAAATGATTGATTATTTTAGTCAATCAACAAAGTATTTTATTTTCATATGTGCTCTTCGGATGATTTGCCAACCTCATATATATATATATATATGAGTTTCATTTTCTTTCCAGGCGCTCATGCATATATGTACATGTGTGTACCCTTTTTCTTTTTGCTCCATCTCCTTTTCCTTTTTAGCGATGTTATATTATTTCTTATTTGCCTATATCATATTCATATAAAACTTGATCATCTATACCATTTTATTTAATATGGTATAAATGTTTTCACATATTTTTGGGTATGCCGAAATTGGTGTCAACATCGACAAAACCTACCAGTTGTATAAATATGTATTTTTACTGACAGTAGCCTACATTGACCGCTGATGGAATTAGAAGAAATCCATTGGTCGTTAAACTCTTTGTATTGGTGGATTTTGGCCATGACGGGACCCTGATGCATGTTAGGGCTAGTAAGAGCTAGGTACTAGCTCTAAGATAACTTCTCTAATAATGCTAACTTTTAGCACATAGCATATAACATGAATAGCCTCATATGACACTCTCATGTAATCTTGAAATGTGTACAAGAGCTTAGCTCTTATATCAAGAGCTAGCTTCTCCCTCCTCTATTAAAATATAAAAATTGCTTAGAGCTAGCTCAGAAATTGATTGTTGGAGCTGCCCTTAGTTTGCGTAGCTTCATGTACCATGCGAAGTCATGCACCCAGTATTTAATATATTTATTTAAATTAATTAAATCTTACAAACTATTAAATTTAATTAAGTTTCAATAAAATGAATTGTGGAGCGTATTATGGCAGGAAAATCTAGATGCATGGTAGCACACGAGACTTGGTGTTTGTATAGGTATGATCGAATGGCACGAACATGTTTGAATGACACTTATTTTCCTACTAAATAGTATTAAGTATATTGTGGTTATACGACACTAGTGTTATCATCAACGTCGCTAGGTCGTCAACGCAGACTAATTATATCTAAGCAACGAAAAAGAATCCATATAAGATTCAATTAATTCCAATTTAGGCACCATAAGATAGAGAATGATTTAGCATGTGAGTCCCACATGTCTTGCTATTTTTATTGATATATATTTGGTCTCATAAATGATTCACATGAAAAAAAATCAACTACAAAATTTGGTCTCTTGAAACACTACAAATTTGATGTGTGTCTTCCTCTAAAATCATTTAAAAATTCAAAATTGAATTTCATAATCACAAAACATAAAACAAACATTTGGGCCTTGAAGCATCTCAAGTAAAAAGATTTTTCATCCACAAATGTTTTAGATCCCATTGAGATCTATGACTTTGCTATGGACCATATAAATATTCGAGGTCATTTGAAAAAAAAACAATTAAATATGAGAATTAAAAGATGAATATTTGGGTCTCCAAATGATCCCATTATATAAAAATGTGTCGAGTACAAAGTTGTAGATCTCATGTAGAGTTTTAGCTTTGATATGACTACGTCAACATCCAAGGTTGTTTCAACAATTAAAAATTAATTTTAAACTCGAGAACAATTCAAAAATTCAAGAAAGAAGAAAATTAAATCTAATAATCTATTCCACCAGGTGTTAGGTGTTGGGCCTAAATTTAACGGCCCAAATAAAGGTCTATACTATAATACTTATTATAATATATGTACATGTGTGTACCCTTTTTTCTTTTTGCTTCATCTCATTTTCCTCTTTAGCGATGTTATATTATTTCTTATTTGCCTATATCATATTAATATAAAACTTGATCATCTATACCATTTTATTTAATATGGTATAAATGTTTTCATACATTTTTGGGTATGTCGAAATTGGAGTCAACAGATGCCCTCTCGAGGTCCGGATGCGGTTTCTGTATTTTGAAGTCAGGTCCAGGTCTAAAGCGGCGGGAGTGGTTGCCGGACTGCCTGGCGCTCTGGAGTTTGATTTCCCTTCGCTAATGACGCCGGCGCGCTGGAGTTTGAACTTTGTGCGCGCTTGTTGAACGTGCATGGGAGTTGTGTATGACTTAGGCCCTGTTTGGTTGAGCTGTGGCTGTGGGAAAAAGCTGCTGTAGGCTGTGAGCTGTGGAAAAGCTGAAAGCTGTTTGGTTAAACAAGTATAAAATATACCTTTTATCTTTATCTCTCTTGAAACAACTATAGAAGAGCTTTTTATTCCACCAATTTCGAAAAGCAGAAAGCCAAAAGCCAAAAGCAGGGTCAACCCAGCTTTCAAAAATAAACTACGGAAAAGCAGCTGCTTCTGAAAAAACACCCTCCAAAAACAGCCCCTTTGGTTGGGTTTTTGGCTTTTGGGGCCAAAAGCTAAAGCCAAAAGCCCAACCAAACAGGGCCTTAGTCTTGCGGATGCGAATAGGAGACCTGACCGGCGCTTGACTCAGTTTGAATGTGTAGAGCGCGTTCAGGAGCTCCCTCCTTGCCTGGTAACGGCGTGCACATACGTGCTATACGTTTGCTGTGTATGTACACACACGTACGCGTTCTTGCATGGTCTCTTTTTTTTAATCCATGCGTATGGAAGCGTGTATGTATTTACGACCGAGCGTTTTTAATATGACATGTAATAGCCGTGCTTTTATCACTATACTCTGCCAAGGTATAGTCATGCTCATGCATATATGCGTATATGTCCTTCTTTCTTTATTCTAGCTTTCTTTTCTTCTTCTTAATTTTCCACTAATCACCGCATCATCTTTTGACATTGAAAATGATCGATTATTTTAGTCAATCAACAAAGTATTTTATTTTCATATGTGCTTTCTTTATTCTACGTCAACATCCAAGGTTGTTTGAACAATTAAAAAAATAATTTTAAATTCGAGAACAAATCAAAAATTCAAGAAAGAAGAAAATTAAATCTAATAATCTATTCCACCAGGTGTCAGGTGTTGGGCCTAAATTTAACGGCCCAAATAAATGTCTATACATATAATACTTATTATAATATATTATTATAACTACTAACTCGATTTGTGTGTTATTCTCCCAAAAAAACTGGATTTGTGTGCCATGAAGTTTGGACGACTTTTGGACTTGTTGTCTGCTTCCTCGTTTTTTTAGATAATGGAACAAAGTTCTGGCCTCTACCATCCGTGGATGATACACGGCTGACAGTCACAGAAAAACACCAAAGCCATGAGGCTTACAAGTCCAAGGAAAAGAAACAAAGTTCAACCCAACTAGTGGGTGCAACGAACAAAGCAAAACACTAAGCTTCAATACGATTCATGAAGTTCTAGCCCAACTTCGCGAAGACAGCCATAATCAACGTCTCCCATCTTCTGCTTCCTCGTAAAGTACACTAATTCTAATCCGACATGGAAGCTTAACCCAAGGGGCATGCTACTACGTATATATACTCGGAACATGGAAGCATAATCCAACATGGTGTCCTGCACCGGACCGTCCGGGCCGATTCCAAAATCCTGATATCACCGTGGCCGATCAAACTCTTTATCTTTCCTCCTGTATATATATAGCTGACCAAGGGTACGATACGAGGCAATAATCCTCCAATCAGCCAAGAGGTGGATCCCTCCTTGTCTTGCCAATCTTCTTATCGTCGACCAGGAAGAGGAACCATGGAGGAACACGCAGACGCTACCAAATTGGGATCATCCATGTCGTCCTGCTTGCCCTTGCTCGTCTTCCAACACCGTCATCACGGCCAAGAGGACGTTGACAACGAGATGCTAATGTTCAGCATATCCAAGCAAAGCCTGCACAAGAACATGGAGCATGGCCTTCTAGCCGTAGGAAACAGCAGCATGTGCTGGACCACTCCCCAAGGCTGGATACTCCTGGCCCGCGCCCGGGACCATGACGCGGCGGTCTCTTCAGCTTGCCTATGGAACCCTAGCACCGGCGACAAGCTTCCGTTACCAGATATCATCACAGAGGAGCATGAAATCCCATACCACAACAGGTGCATGCTCTCCCACAAGGACCCAACTCATCCAGGATGTGTCGTCGTGCTCTTCAGTTATGAAACGCCTGATTTCTGGTATTGTCACACCGCTGGTGACGGCGGCGAGAACAACAGCATCAGTTGGAGACATCACTCCTACGACATCGGTAACTGTGCTTCTGTCCCCAAGCCACCAAAGGGAAAGAAGGCACGTCGTAGTATCCGTCCTATCAAGAGAGTCATCTTCCTAATGGCTTCCTTCCAAGGAAAAATCTACTTCAGCCAATCGTCGTCTAAAGACAATATGTGTGCCATAGATTTCTCATCCTGCACTTCCACGACAAATCACAACCGCCCTAGGTTCCAAAAGTTCAACTTCCCTTTCGTCGACCTCCCCAAAGAACTGTCCTCAGGCAAAAAGTGGTTGGTTGAGTCGCAAGATCAACTCTTTGCAGTCACCATGGGCTTCATTGCCTTCAATCCAAACAATATTGGCGCCATAGAGGTGTATAGGATGGATTCCTCCTCCTCAACACAAGACCGTTGGCGCAGGGTGCATGACATTGGAGATGTTGTGTTTCTCTTGGAGGAGGATGCAAACACGGCGGCTTCTTGCTCGGCGAGCATTTTGGGACTGAAAGCAAACCAGATATTCTTCATGAAGAATATCATCGATGATGATGCTGACTTGTGCATTTTTGACTTGGAAACAAACACTCAAGAGATTACCCAGGTCCACCATCACGACGACTTGATTCTCTGCCGCAAACCTTTCTGGATTGTGCCACCTAGCTAAGCTAGCTACGTACCTCTAAATACACATTATTTCTTGCTATTATTTACTTCGTCTTATGTGAAGAAACACCATATAGGAACAATTATGTAAGTTAGTATATATACATTCCTGGTTTCATGTGTTATATGGTAGGGTACTATACTATATCTTCTTGTCATTGGATTTTTGTTAAAATATAAGGAATTTGTTTATATTTCCCAATCAGCTCATTAGGCTATTTAGCTCATCTGGATAATGCATTCAGCTCAATATGGCACCATGGTGTAAATAGATGAGCATTGCCTGTGTTTTCAGATGTGCCATGAGCCCTCTATTGGAAAAGAAAAAGGAACAGAAACTTGAATACTAACCTTATTTACCAATACAGAGGCTTCATAACTTCACTAAAATAGGGTGGTCACTAGGGGTCTGAAAACCCCTATGATCAAATACACATCCCCGTCAGATATTCAGATGTGCAGCTGTGCTGCAGCGGCTCCGTTGGAGGTTGGAGCCACATCCCACTATTTGTGACGGAAGTGCGGCCATGCGCGTGTAAGAAACATGTGTTTGATTACATAATTCTGAGTTTGATCTTTACGAAAAAATAGAACAACAAAGAACAAATGCGATGTTCTGTCATTGCAGTTAAAACGGTAGAAATCTGATATATATTAGTATATGTTTGCAATTATACTGTTAGAAATCTGATACTATATTAGTATAATAGGAAGGTTCATAGGCGATGAACATTGTTAAAGGCAATTCAATTTAGAAGTCATTATATATAGTAACATAGAGCAACGACTGGAGTCAGTTTCGTTCACTATTTTTTGTAGCGCTGTTTTTGATCCGTTGGTTGTACCATTCTCGTTGTGGTAAGTTTGATCTGCCAGATCTTTCTTCATATGCCCGCACTTGGTATGGTATGCTGAAAAATAAATTTAATATTTTGTTTTTTTTATAAACTAATTCAAACGTATCATCATGACGTTTTCGTTTAGATTAGAATAGTATGAAGCACAGAGCAGGACAGCAGGTGGCCAGGACTTCCGTTGTTACAATATGTTGGATCAATCGACATGCATATAATTTAATTAAGAGCTACATTTACATATAATCCTGCGGCAACCAATGGCATTATATGTCATAAGTGCATAGGTTATAGTTTCAGAGCCTAAACATAGAATATTTTGTTCATATAAAACAGATACAATACATAATTACTCATGTAAACTGAAGTCAGCTGATGATGAAGCAGCTTTGACTCAGCAGTTTTCACTGGTACTCGGTTCTTGAGAGACCATTACTGAGTCAAAACTTTAAGCATCAGAGGATCAAACCTGATGGGAGAAAGAGAGCACAGGAGGCAAATGGATCAAACCACAGAGAATGAGTGAGAACAAAAGGCAATTAGCAATACAAAGACGCCACATAGAGGTAGCTCATTTTGTTTTGTACAAAACACATAGGAGGAATTCATAAAGCATATCTCAATGCTAAAAGGATTCCTAAAGCCCTAAACAAACTAAAGAATGGCTTCCCTCAAGGAAGAACATGTATGCTTTCAGAAAATGAGAAACCATTTCCCAACTCATCAGCCTTAGCTGGAAGGGGCTGCAGAGAAGTTCTCTCTCTCCTCTCTCTCTCTCTCTCTCTCTCTCTATATATATATATATATATATATATATATATATAGAGAGAGAGAGAGAGCAAATCTCTCAAACTGTAGTCTACCACAAGGACTCCACATATAATTTACAAAACTGAAACTGCTTGTGCATAAGTAGATGAGTGATTCGGCCGGCACATGTCCAAACTCCAAAGGACTCAAAGAAAATTGGCTGTGTATTACTATCAGCACCTAGATATACTTCCATCTCTACTCCACAAAATTATGTATTATTAGCAGCCACCTCATGAACCATGGATACATAAAACAAAGAGCATCGAGCCATATTAGCTTGCAACAGTGAGACATACGAGGCATTGACAATAAACATCTGAGGCCTCTGATCAATAAAAAATAAAATAAAAATGTGGAAGAGAACAGAGTAAAAATGAATGGAAAGGGGAAAGCACGGAGAAATATGAAGCATCTATTGCCTGCAAGCAAGCGTGATAAATAGACGATAGAGAGATTAATCTATCGTCCACTGGCAGAGGGCAGTGGAGGCAAAACTGGACACGTACTCTCTGCAACTTTAGAATGTATGAAGGTTAGGGAGGAAGAGGCTCTCAGCTCGATCTGTGAAAGCCATTGTCACCACAAGAAACACAAGGAAGCCCAAGCTAGCAAGGACATCATATCTCAATTACCCACCAAACCAGCACTGAATACCACTGGATTTCCTTACATTCTTCCTTGCTGAGATACTTAACAAACCAAACAGCTAACTGGACTAAACACTTCAGCTGAGAAAATTAACATGTTTCCATTTGCCTCCTACCTAGACTGGTCTAATTGAATTTAAGCTGGGACTTTCCTCAGCGTAATGAAACCTGAAAATACAAAGAATTAGAAATGAACTTGTATCATGGACGGAATAAGATCATCCTTTCATGTACCAGGAGCACTGCTGTTAAAAAACCATATACATAACAAATGGACCAGAGGCAAAAAAAAAAAAAAAAACGTGGTGTATTTTTGCTTCAATGCTGGAATGCTGGTGATTGTGTACTGATATGTAATTATGCACATAGGATACATACGTGGGATGAACCTTTGTTTTTAATTAATCTGAACTTCTAAGCAGAATATGGGCAGAACATTGTGATGGTCAGCAAAGAAAGAAATATTAATTTTTCAATTTTCTATCTTTGATATTGTTGTTACTCTGGATAGATAGATAATTTCCTTAGCATTTCAGATTGGTGGCGCCTTCTGTGGCTGCACCACTGTGGATAAGCTCCTTAATGAAATTCCTCGATTGTAAGAATATAGCGCAGATAACATCTCCAAATAGAAAACAATTTGGCAGATAATATACATGGAGGCAAAGAGAGAAAAATACAAAAAAAAAAAACATTTTGACTCATCTACATACAGGATTGCCCTCAAATTACAGATAAGGTGCAATCAAACTTTTGAGACCATAAATAAAACAAACATCAATTTTATGAGGAACATGAAAACTCTATCCCTGTTCCTGTAATCAAATTTTGCAAGGAGCACAAACATGTTTACAAAATGGGGAAACAGTTTTTGATGACAGAGCATCTCAGAAACTAAGATATAGTATAAAATCGAAGGCACGTAAACACCCGCATGCCATGTTGTGTATATTAATCTGTCAAATCAAATACCTTCAGGGAAAATAGCACCTGTATTTAGGAATAGAAGCAAAACTATTAGCTAAGCGTTTGGCAGTACAAGATTACTATGCAAATGTATGAGCTTCCCAGCACTATAAGGATCATTTCTTGGGAAAGAAACAAGGGACGACGAGTATAGAGCATGACAAAGGGAAAATATCAATAGTCAAAATGAACTCAACCAAATATTAGAATGCAGTAAAGTTTAAGCAATATGAACAAGCTAGGTGATGTCTTCTTCCCATAATCCCATGGTTGAGTTTTTATATTTAAGAAATATGACACCATGTTCTATTTGTCCACCATAATACAGAGTCATGGAATGATTTTGGTACAACCTATGACTTTCTAGTTGAATCGATGCCTGTAGCTCAGGCTGGAAAAGAATGCAACACAAACTTACAGAGTAGCAGTCAGACCACCCCTGAAATTATTTGGCTGAAAAAAAAATTGCAGTGATCCCAAGCATGCAAGGCTTAGCAGAGGTAACCAAATCTAAGTTGCAAAATTACATTCTTTTTCAAATTTTGATCATGTAAGAAGTAACCGACAGAAAGGAAAAGGGATGGACAATTTACTTCTCAGAGCCATAGCAATGCTTAATTACATGCGAGTTTCCTTGTTTAAGTATAAAAAAAATAGAAAACACCTAGGTTAGTGTAACTGAATGTAAATATGGTGTTTCTTAGTATGTCAAAACCTGAAAAATACAAAGAATTACAGATTATTCAGTTATTCATACTGATGTGTAGGGTTGCTCAATAGATCTCTTGGTGAAATGAGTCAATCAACAGTCAACAACAATGAAATACACAGTTTCAACCTTTCTAATGGAAAAGTGCCAGGGCAAGTTCAATACATTTCACAACTCACAAATAATGATGAGTCAGCCAACCAAATACAGTGTGTTTTTCTTTGCATACCTGAATTATGGAAACATCCAGCTTAAGTGTTCATCCTTCTGTCTGTGTTCATCAGAGCATGTCATAGGTAAGCCAGAATTGTCAGAGCATGCCCAAGCTAATAACTAGGTAGCCATGACAGGGGACAGGACGGAAGGACAGAATACCTGAAGGCACTCCACCGTGCAGCACCTTGGATGAGCTCAGGGAGGGGGGCGGGGGGAGTGAATCTTTCGCGTTGTACCACCCGGAGGAACACGTCGGATGATCTACGCTGTGGAGTCGATCTGCGTTGGAGTCCAGGCCCGAGTGGGCCAGGGCCAGGGCCAGCCCAGCCCAGATAAAAAAAAAGAAAACTAAGGTGGTGTTTAAATCTAGGAAGTAAACTTTAGGATGTTATATGGGAGTGTTCGGATAGTAATAATAAAACAAATTATATAAATACTCAGTAATCCGCGAGACGGATTTATTAAGCCTAATTAATCTTTCATTAGCACATGTTTACTGTAGCACCATATTGTCAAATCATGAACTAATTAGGTTTAAAAAATTCGTCTCGTAAATTAGTCACAATCTGTGCAATTAGTTATTTTTTAGTCTATATTTAATACTCATGTGTCAAACATCTGATATGATAAGAAGTAAGGGGAGGAACTAAATAAAGCCTATGCCCAGCTTATATACAAATAAATAATATAAATACTTCACCGCTTTCCGCTTTCACCGCAAGCGGCAAAGTGTTTTCGGGCTTTCGTCTCCGACTCCGAGTCCGGTGCAAGTCTTCCGAGGAGCACGAGAAGAGCCGAGCCGTCTCCCTCGCCGACCCCATTCCCTCGACCGGGTTCGTGCCCCCTACGCTCTTGTTGTTTGATTGGAGACCGGAGGATCTGCAGCCTGTTCGGGAGGCCGTATCGTATCGTGGATTATTTACTGCTGGCTGGTTTGGTGTGAGAGAAAAACACTGTTCCCGGCTGAAAATTTACGATCGTTTACGAGCAAGCGAACAGGCTGCTGGTTGTTTGATCGGAGACTTGTTTGTTTGATTGATCCGCGTCCCCGCTCGTTCATCCCCCGTTGCGTGACTTGTTTGTTTGATTGATCCGAACCCTAAACCCTCTTAGAGATGCTTGGTCGGAATGCCACGTCGCTACTTCTCGCAATAGCTGATTTCGCCTGCAGCGATTGATTTATTTCATCCTATTATTAGATTAGATATACACGAATCCACCGTCCACCGACATGATCGGATCCACAGATCCATGCCGGTTCAGGAAAACCACGTCTATGCCATTTCAGGAAATACAACTCGATTAATCGGGAGATCGAGGGTTTCGAACTCCACCCACTCGATTAATCGGGAGATCTACAAGGGTTTCGGATCCAGAGTTCGATTACCGAGAGATCATTCGCTCGTTTGGGATCCACACATAGTTCGGATACAAATTGTTGTCAGATACTTCAATCTGCGTCGTTTAACCCAACTTAAATGGATCGCGTCAGTCTTGTTGCGTCATTTGATCCGACTTACTCCATTAGATCACATTCAATTATTTATCTGTAATTTCGACAGTTCTTAATATCAGGCCCCAGTCTTCTGTCATTTGATCCCACCTACACAATTGTGCCATAATAAAGTTTGTACTTGCAGGAGACGTCATGCCGACCAAAAAGAAGACGGTGTACAAAACAGTCCCCAAGCCCGTTAAGGGAAACAAGAAAACCGTCGGCTGCCCCGTCAACTGCAAAGAGTGCGGCACATCTCTTCACCCTGACAGCGATGCTTGAGCACGAGCTGTGGTGCGCCCTTGCTAAGAAGAACCGAGAGACAGCCGCCGAGAAGGAGAAGAGCCAGAAACGTGGGCCCAAGCGGTACTGCACACAGGCAAACCCCCCAACGGCTCCTTTCCCAGTAAGGATACAGCATCCAAACAAATATTAAAATGTTGCAAATATAAAATACACGCAAGTTACATCGCATTCCTCTCCACCCTGCAGGTAACACAGAGAAGAAGTACCAACAGTGAAGTAAGACATGGGAGGCTTGAATGATATGGTTAAGTAATAAATACAGTACTAAAAATCAACTGATCTTGTTAGAACTATACTACTGCATGAGACTTGAGGTGAGATATTGTTCTTATAGTTCTGCAAAGCATGTGAGACTTGAGGTGAGATATTGTTCTTATAGTTCTGCAAAGCACTGAGGCAAACCTAATGCATTGTGAAGTGAGCTGAGTAAATGTTGTTGGTTAAATGTTGGTGAAAACGATTGTGTGACCAGGTTTGGTTACTGAATTTGATGAATGGTAATAGTATTGAGATTCTGAATAGGGCCTTGTTTAGATTCCAAGTTTTTTCACTCTCTCTCCATCACATCAAATCTTTGGACACATGCATGGAGTATTAAATGTAGATAAAAAAATAACTAATTACATAGTTTGATTGTAAATTACGAGACGAATCTTTTGAGCCTAGTTAAGCCATGATTAGACAATAATTGTCAAATACAAACGAAAGTGCTACAGTGCCAAATACTGATTCCCAACCATCATCTAAACAAGGCCTAGGCACATAAATTGAAATTACCGTGTGCAGAAGGCAGCAGCCTTGCATGTGCAGGGAAGGCACAGATTGTGAAAGCTCTCTCTCCTTGGCTGCAGTTTCTTGCACTTGCTCAATCCATACATTTTCTGCTTGTCCAGATTAGCACATATCCTGCTCATGGCTGCAGTTGTAGACACCACTTGCTCCTGATATTCATAGCCATGCAGCAAGTCATCATCCCAAACCACGTCTGTACAAGGCATTGCATGAAACATCACAGTTGAGGCTCCCTGTGATGTCAAAGGATCCACAGACTCAACTTTCTTCTCCTCACCAAAGTAAATCCACTGAGAGTGCTGAAGTAAACCGTGGTGCGCGCCAATAGCAGCAGCCATTTCATCCCACAACCTGCCCAAAAATTTCAACCAACACAGTTGCATCACCAACCATCAGACACCCCCGGTGTCATGAAGACAGCCTGCTCTAGATGTGTTGCGTCCATTTCTTTGAGAGATATTTCATCGAACAATACATGTGCAGGTCCATTGGATACCACAGCAACCCCAAACACGACCTGCTCAACTAGTTGTTGTGTGTCCACTTGAGCCATTCCCTCGAACACCCTGTGGGCAACATGTTCAAACCCCACACAGCCTTTCTCCTTCCCAAGAGCACTTTGAGGAACCCCTTTTGTGAGTCAACTTTCGCTGCATTTACTGGTGTCCTGCCCATGGTGAGCATTTTGGCTGGTCGACATTTGGAAGTTTCCAGTACTTGTTGCTAAAGCTTGGCTAACATAATGGCTCTATGCATAGTATCAGACTCTTGTGTTTGCACTAAAGCTCTGAGATCAGGTTTCAAACCTTTAATGAACTGAGACACAAAATAAAGCTCATCAAATCCACTGTTGTGCATTAATATCTCATATTGCAAGGTCTGGAATGTGTTTGCATATTCTTCCACTAGAATCTTGTCACAGTTCTAACAACTTAGCAAGAGCAGTTCGATAGTCATATAGACCAAAGTGAGGCTCCACGGCATGAACAAACAACTGTTGATTAGGATTTTGCTTCTTATGTACTCCCTCCATTCCAAATTATAAGACGTTTTGGCTTTTCTTGATACATTGCTTTTAGTATGTATCTAGACATAGTGTATATCTATGTGCATAGCAAAAGCTACGTATCTAGAAAAGCCAAAACAGAACCTAACTGACTTAAACACTAAGCTAAAAGCACAATTAGAAAACTCCTCAATGTACCTGAAGGAAAGACAGTTTTGCATTCACAGTAGACATAACAAAGACTGGAACCTAGAGAAAGTTAGGATCAAATGTGATCTGCGACATGTCTGTTGGTATGCACTAAGCAATGGCTATGTAAATTGTTAGCTCTGATTAAGAGCTTTTAATAGTTGGGCAGTAAATTACTGAAGACGAGGTTCTCTTACAGCAACGGTTCGATTGTATGGAAGTTGTGTTCTAACATGAATGGTAGAGTAGTGTGGAAACTGGAAAGGTCACAAAGTGGGAGGCTAACGACTCTGCAGCAAGCAGCAAACTCAATTGGTTGGTTATGACTTCTGAATGTGGCGTTTGTCTCTAATTTGAAAACATGTGAGGTCCAAGTGGGCATGAAATTTAGAACTCAAGATCTACATTCAAAATTCTTCACGCAAAGCTACACTTTTTTGTTCTTTGCCTGCATAATGATAATATGATACTATTGCTTTGGTACTTGATTGAGATGTACACTTCTGAATTAATTGGGTATATACTTTTATGTGCCCGTTGTGTTAAACCGTGCTGCCTCCTCTGTTCTGGTCCCCCAAATCTCCCAGCTAACTGCCGCTTTTTGTATTTCTTTGCTCTGCCTTTGCTCCCTTTGCTCACGGACTGATGTGGGTACTCTGCTCTTAGCTGGACTGGTGCGTGTATTCTGCTCTTAGCTGCACTAGTATGTGCTGGGTTCAAGAATTGGGAACAAACAAGGTATGCATGTGCTGCACTAGTATCTAAAATTCTAGCCTACACAATGCCTTCATGGCGCTTAAAATGTGCGTATGGCATCGCCTAGGTGTCCACCATAAACGCCTAGGCGTTGTGAGGGGGGTCGGGCGCCGCTCCTCACCACAGCGCCTCAAAAACCATGGCCTTATCAAAAGCAGGGGCAAATTTTAAAGGGTGTATTTGTCTTTTCATAGATCATAACTCAGTTTGACACCATTAGGTACCATTGACGGAATAGGGGCAATCTGAACCTTCGGTTCAAAAAGCAGGGGTAAATAACAGAATTGAAAAAATGGGAGCCAAAATCATCATTAGCCTTGAGAGTAGGGGCACAAACACAAGAGACCCTTTTTTGTAAAGGCAAAAGTGATTATGATAGGTAGTTTTTGATAGTCAATTGACCATTTATCTTTTTTAATAAATGAGACTGAGTATAAACATTTGATGTAAAGATGGCCATAAAAAAATTCAAAAGATGAATCATCATTTCAAATGCGCCAGTGAAAATGGTGATCATGCAAATCAGGGTATTTGGGTATTTACCTTTTAGCTCTCTGGTTTTGAAATTTGATGACTTCTTGATCTTCAAGTCGTCTTTTTGTTCCTGCTTTAGACGATAAATGGGCAGATGAGAGGTGGAAGGTGGCGACAAACATGAATTTACAGTTCAAAATTATACCCTATTGAACTGCTTTGTGTCACAGCACCCAAAAATCGCATAGCATTTGGATCGCATATAAGTTGCAGCACATTCAGGATAATATAGCTTGAAGAGAATGGTAAAATTCAGTAAAATAAAGCCAAGAACGACCAGAAACAAATGAAATAATTTAATGGAAATTACCCATACTTTGTTGCCATCCACGATTAGATCATAGTGTAGCTTTTAACAGCAACCAGATTGCCCCTCCATGAGGAAGAGGGCAACGTCTTTGGTTTCCAATTATCTGATCGATTTGCCCTTTCATTCTGTCCTTGGTAGTTATAAAAAGTTGGTGTGTGTTCCATCTGGGTCCCATGGTTTGTAGGCTCACTTGTCAATCCAAGCTATAGACCTCCTGCTCATCACTGTCTTGGTTGTTACTTGTCACGCAGAGGACCTACATACATACAGTATGATGGTTTCCAAAATTACAGGCTAGTTAAACACAAAAACGGCATAGCTGTCCATGCATATTCTGTGAAACCATGTTTGTATTTCTCACAAGACTACAATGAATGAAAGACTACAACGAATGAACAAACATGATCGAATCTATATACGTCACATGTAACAAAACGAGGAGCCAAAAAAATCACCTGTTAGGAGGAGTCTCTTTCATTCAGATCCGATGAGAAGAGCCATGAAACAGCAGTGGTACTCCATGGCTCCGAACAGATGTTGATTTGCACCTCACGGACCTGGGGCACGTAAATCAACGGATTGGACATAGCGTCTAAGGGGATTTCACATGGCGTTCAAGGGGATTTCATGTCAGACGGTAAGAACCGAGAGGGAAACTGAAAACTCAAGGGGATTTCACATGGCGTTCTGTCAGACGGCAAGGACCGAGAGGGAAACTGAAAACTCACCGCATCTCGGCTAAAGGTGCCGCCTTTCGGTCCCAGGACGCCCAAGGAGGCCGCAGACATGAAGATTCATGAACCTGGTGGAAGAAATTTGCAAGATCTATGAGAATTCATCCGACGACAGCACAGGACGAGAGAAGAGAGGAGACGAAGAGCGAGAGGTCAGGAGGCATACCAATCGTGAGATCTCAGGCGCAGGCATGGCGCGCCCGGCCTCCGGCCCGGCGAGAGAGGAGGACCCGCCGCCGCCGCCGCTCGGGTCAGAGGGGAAGAAGGGGAAGTTCTATCTTGGCTTGGCCGGCCTTTCTTGTTCCCTTCGTATTCCCCTTGCTATGATGACGTAGCAAGGCCGTCGACTGAGCCGTGGGCCCCACACCATGGACCCGCATCCCGTTAAGACGACGTACACCGTACGTAAGTACGTGCCTTTGTCAACGTCTGCCGTGACGTGATTGGCTCCCCGTAATACTGTACTAGTCTCCTTCCGTTTTCACGGCTTTACGTTCTGGCTGGAGTAAAATAAAAAATACATGATTCATCAGTCATATACACTTGTACCATGGGCTAGATAAAAATACGTATAGTACTACAATAACAAAAAAAAAGTATTATCTTGAGACAATTTCCCTCAGTGACTTTTGCATTTATTATTTGTCATCATATATAAATTGAAGTTATATTAGTTTTTTTTTTATTTTTGCTTACCCTGCTCGACATGATTTTTGGTGGGAGTGAATTGCATCCACCATGCAATATGGGTGCATATTGGTTTAACATCTTGTAATCTGTTTAATTTAACACGCACAAATTTGGTTTTCTGCGTCTACGGTCCAAATACCATGATTGGTGAATTTGGCCACATTGTATTTTGAGGATAATCTGCTGTTACTTGAGGGTGTGGTCCAGCTGGCTTGGTTTGGTCTCCTTAGCACGCCCGACATCACGACGGTAACTTATTTTGATCGGCTGCCCAACATCACGACGGTAACCTAGTGATAGTGAAACCCCTTGATAGGTCACCATCTAGCATAGAAAAATACACACGCATGGTAGTGTTTGAGTCGTAGGTGCACTAATCTGCCAGGTGCTTCTAACAAAATGAGTATTTGCATGTTGTTGGATTAATATGCACCTACCTGCTTAGTTGTTGTATGATGTATACAATTTTACTCTTTTTGGTGGGGACTTAAAAGCCCATAAAGTGAAATCGAGCATGCTACAATGTATAAATAATAAGTGAAATAATCTATTTACATGATTTAATGGAGGAGTTCAAGAAAATTAAATGAAATATTGGAGTCCGAGAGAAAAAAGACAACAAAAAGAAAGAAAGAAACAAATGCACATACCTTGGATTAGGTCTCACCATGCCAAACGTAGGAGTGGAATCTCTTTGTCTTGCCTTTTGACCCGTAGGCATCTCTCTCTCTCTCTACCTAGAACAGACTTGGGGAAAATAGAGGCGGGCTTAAGGCAAAAGATGAAAGGTGTGTGTATATAGGTCATCAAGGAGATACATAGGTGGCTATGATGAGAGACATGACGAACTCGACAAAATGAATATTGAAACAAGGGATGTCATTAGATATCTCTTTGGTGTTGCTTACATTGTGATGATAGATCATTTGTTACAATACTAACTGATTTTTCAGAAAAACAAGACTACAAACGCTAAACTTATCAAAAACTTTCGCTTAAATTGTTAGTTCCGTCATCAACAATAAATATTTGACATTGGGACAAAGAAAAGTAACTTAAAACTAGTGCTACGTTTCCAATAAACTTTTTTTTGTAGACAGTATAAAACTTTAGTACGTTCTTTTATGTCATTGTGTTTGCTGATGTTTATTTATACATAGAAAAGCAAGGCCCCTTTGGATTGCCGGATTCTTTCCCGTTTCATGCGTTTTTCCTGTGAAAATAAACTGATTCTCGTTAAATTCCTTCACAATTCTTGCAAAATTTCTCCATTCCAAAGAGGGCCTAAAACTTTTAGGCTGGTAAAAAAACTATATATTATATGAATAGTAGTT